AGAGATAGTCCCATCAACTCCTACTTCCTCTCAACCCTATTGCATATTTTCCTTGACATGCTGTCCTTTATCCAACAATTTAAGGATTATGGAATCATGACAGAATCCCAAGGAAGAAAACGGATATTAATTGCTTTCTCCTCCCTCCATCATTGAGAACTTGAGTGATTCTACCACAAGAGGTATTTATATACCTGACAGTTTTACAGGTTTAAAATACACACACACACACACACACACATACACACACACACACTCTCAAGTGTATATAAATGTATACATACATATACTTTTCCCATTTTGGGGTAGGCTCAGTAAATTTCCTGAATAATTTGGTATAATTTTCTTAGGCTGTGTGGAGGGTAGTCCAGCTGCAGGCATAGCTCATTATTTTTTAAAATATGCTTGATTCATACATCTTGCAGGCATATTCAGTTACAGCTTAAATAAGTGGTAGCTTTCGATTTAGTTGCAATTGTATGGTTTTTCAATTGCACAAAGTTGTGCCCAGAACTTTCTGGAGGATGGACAGTAGGTTAGAAAGTTAGGCATCTGTAGCATTGTTTGGTTAAAAAAAAAAAGCTTCCCTGGAGGCTCAGTGGTAAAGAATCTGCCTGCTAACACAGGAGACATGGGTTCAATCCCTTATTTCGGAAGATTGCACATGCCGAGGAACAACTAAGACCATGAGCCACAACTTCTGAGTCCACATGCCGAAACTACTGAAGTCCATATGTCCTAGAGCCTGTGCTCTGCAACAAGAGAAGCCACCACAACGAGAAGCTTGTGCACTAGCCTGTGCAACCAGAAAGTAGCCCCTGCTTGCCACAGCTAGAGAAAAGCCGGAGTAGCACAGCCAAAAATAAATAAATAAAATTTAAAAAAGGAAACAATCTAAATGTTCAACACTATATAGAACTGGATAAACACTAAATTATTGTATACCTGGTTAACAGAATACTATGAAGCAGTAAACAAGAATTTCAGAGATCAGTATATATACTGACATGGAATATCTCTGGAATATATTAGGTGAACAAAACAAGATACAGAAGCTGCCATTTATGTTAAAAGGGGGAAAAATAGACATGTACAAAATTGCTTATATAGGTATAAACATTTCTAGAAGGAGACTTAAAAATCTAATAACATGTTTTACTTATAAGAGGGGTTCTGGGTGTTTAGTGGACAAAGTAAAAGGACATCTTTCATTGCATTTAAAAAATTCTTTCTGAAATGTGAACTATGTGAATATATTAATTATTCAGATTTTTAAATGTGAAATTACATGGTCTAATAAACTAACATAGTTGGAGAAACAAGAAGACAGTTTTAATTAAATGTTTCAACTGTTATGAAACAGAGATCAAATTTGGTGGTAGTATGCTAATGGTTGAAGTATTATATCAGTTTACCTGATTGATGAAGTTCTTCTGCCATTGAGTATACCATGGAATCAACGTGATATAGTGGGAAGAACATGGGTTTTGGGATCAGGCAGAAATAAATTCAAATCCTAGCCTTTTTCATTTTTTGGCCTGCTAGGCCATATATGGGATCCCAGTTCCCCAACCAGGGATTGAACTCCCACCTCCTGCAGTGGAAGTGCATAGTCCCAACTACTGGACCACCAGGGAAATCCCATTCAAATCTTAGTCTTTTAATATACTGGCTTTATATGTTTGGGTAAGCTATTTAACCTTTATGGAGTTTCAATTTTCTTATCTGTAAAATGGGTGAAATCTTGACAGGGTTATTATAAAGGTTAAATGACATAACACCGAACTGCAACAAATTTGTTGGTTTACTTATCCTTCTCTCCTTACATGGATGAACTGAACTGAGATGAACTGACATGCAGAAATTAAATGTCCTGAGAAATTGCAGGTTGCATGTTAAAGTACCACATGTATCTAAAAGCCCTATATCTACATTTTAGTTGTCAATCTCATATTTCTTATGAGGAATAAAGTCTTTTATTACCTCAAAGTTTAAAAAATCTTTGGGTGATACAGTCTTCCCTTTTCCTTCTCTGTCTGAAAAATGATCAAAAGGAAGACAGTGCTTTGCAACACATTACAACTATACCTTAACAAGTATTCCCATTGGTTTTCTGTGGGAAATATTTTATTCCAATGTTAATTTCCAACAAATATATTTTTAAGAGTGATATTGTACTCCACTACTTATTCAGAATTTGAAAAATCAGTGTATTTCTTTTTTTTCCCCAGTCATAAATACCATCTTAATATATATCAAAACCAAGGTTACCCATTAAATCACATTAATACTTACTGATATTTTACCCTGAATAAGACTCTTTTTTTACTGCACAGCACAGCCTGTGGGATCTTAGTCTTCCTAGGGATCAAACCTATGCCCCCTACATTGGAAAGCAAAGTCTTAACCACTGGACCACCAGGGAAGTCCTGAGTATGACTTTATATATTCATCAAATGTGTTATTTGATATGATGATTTTTCAATTAGTTTTCACATTTGTAAAATCACAGGAATTATGCATATATAGAAATATTAAATTATATTTAATATAGACTCTTTATAGAAGTCACCAAAATCTAGGAGACTGAGAGGTCCTAACTCCAATACTGACTGTCAAACTACTGACAACATGTGTCTCAGGTACAGTTTCTGGTGAAACAAAGGTCATTGCTCAATCATATTTTCCCAGTTATATTCAGGGTAGGTTGCTAGGAACTAAGCAGAGAGTATATTTTTCTTTTTTAAATATACTGGGGGAAATGTATATATCCAGATTTTCTTTCTGTCTGTCCTTGAGATTCATTACATTTGTTTAAATGAATTTAAAGAGTTTGTTCAGGGAGCTTTATCAGGAATTATATTTGTATTAGTGGTAAGAATGACAAACAGTTCCTTTGTAATGTTGCACCAGTCAATACCTGTTTTTGCCTAAGGATGTAGCCAAACCAATTCTGGATAATCCAGCTTTGAAGTGGGTTGGGCAGTGCTGGGTTTCTTTTGTTGGTGCTATTAATTTGAGTTGTGACCTAGTCATCATGCCTACTGAAGATATAAGGTTAAGCTCCACAAATTCCAACTAAATCCAGTGTACATGGCATTTTACATCGAAACAGTTTTCTAGAAAAGGTACTTTCCCCCACTTTCTATGATGTACTATCTAGAAGGAATATTTACCTTAAATGTTCTGTTCTTGTAAAATATTCCCTTTTTGGCATGTGGAATGCCAAGCATTTACCAAATACCAAGCAAGCATTTACCAAATGTTCACCATCTTCAAAATGCTCTTTAAATAAATGTTTGGCAGAATTTATTTTAAAAGTCATTTTTAAAATAATTTTTTGGTAGAATTTTTAGATTTCAGTTCAAGGAAGGTGAAATATTAAAAATTACACAATCAAGATATACAAAGCCCTTTGTTAAAGCTGCAAGAGAGTAGCCAATACCAAAGCTTTTGTTTTTAGCCAGTCTCTCGTGGTTAAACTCATATGGACATTCTCTGGGTCAAAGAACATTCGCCATTCAAACTTTTAAAGCTCTCATTATTGACAAAGGCGATAGAGAGAGATAATAGAGGTAAAGAGAGAGCTCCTTAGAGCTAAGGGGAGAAGACCCCCTTAGCTAGCCTTGTTTCGCATCACAGAGACCTGACAAAAATTAGTTTGGCTGCCAGGGGTAGGTAGAGGACTCCGGAAAAGTGACTAAAAAAATGAGTCTTTGCTATAAGCACTGTGCTAAGCACAGTGTTGTTAAGTTGTTACCAATTTATTCATAACAACAAGTGTATCAGGGAGGTACTAAAATTATCCGCATTTTGCAGACGAGCGAAATGAAAGTCACAGAGATTAAACAACTAACGCCGGGAGGTCACACAGCAAATTAAGTGGCGGCCCTAAAACTCGAAACTGGGCCAGAGCACGCACTCTGAACCATTGCGTTCTGCCCCGCGGTGTGATTCTGCACGCTGTCGCGGCCTTCCCACCCTCCTTCGTGGGACAGTTCCCAGTACTGAGGCATGGCGCTGTCCAGCCCTCAGGCCCGCCGCCTTCAACAGGCAAGGGAACGTAGCCCCGCGGGGAGACCCCGCCCGCAGGTTGTAGAACAGCCGCGCCCCGCCACGTCCAGACTGGCAGGCTGGCCGAATCGCCTCCCGGCGGTCATCCTCAGCAGCCTCTTCGGTTCCCTCAGCTCGGCGGTCTAGGCTCCGCTCGGAAAGGCTAGTGGCACGCAGCCAGAACGTCCCCGCTCACTCGCCCGTCCTAATCCCCTACTCCCACCCAAACAGCCTGAAGCTGAGTTTATACAGCCTCACCTGTCCCAGAGGAGGCGACCTCTCTAGTGACTGACGCACCGCTTCTCCAACCAGGGATTGGCAGGAAGGTGGAGCCTATCTGAGACTGATAGCTTCTTCCCTCCAATCCCCGTGCAGCAACTCTCGGCGCCTGGCGGAGAGCGACAGGTGGGAGCTGCGTTACCTCCGTGCCTCTTGCACACTTGACGTAAGAGCCTTACTAAACCCTGGGTGAATTCACTCCAAATCTCACCAATTCTTGCAGGTCGTCACTTCAGCCGTCGTTTTAATCAAGAGTGGAAATTCCCCAACCCTTTCCCGTCACCTCAGATGGGGGCGGGATGAATGGTATCCTTACTGACCAATTGTACCATGCGACGTCCTGTGACAAAGTGACCGACACTTTATATCGCCAATGAAGTTTCCCATTGTCTGGGGTCACTGTGACTGACCACAAGGCCAACTAATCCACTTTAAGGTCGTGAGGCGATAGTCAGAGAAACTGGCCAATAGACATAGAAAAAGACCGGAAGTCGGCGCGTGGGGAATAGGAGGCGGGTGTTCGCAACCGCCTAGGCCTGCGCTGGTCAACGCAGCTTGAGGGCCGCGAGCCAGCAAGCAGCGCGTGACGAAGAGTCTGAGCGACGGGTCGCCTTGACCAATGATCTGCAGCCGATGGGGAGCTGCAGCCAGTGGCGAGTGTGGGGGGCGGGAGGCAGCAGGTTAGGCAGTGAGAAGTTAGTGGCGCTGCTGGGACGGGGGGGAAGGAGACGCTTCTTCCTCCTGCTGCTTCTCTCGTTCTCGGGATCGGCGGCGGCGGTGGCCGCGGCCGCGAGTGACTCGGCAGCGTCTCCGGCTCCGCGTGCGAACCATGCTGACCGACGGCGGAGGCGGCGGCACCTCCTTTGAGGAGGACTTGGACTCGGTGGCTCCGCGATCCGCCCCAGCCGGGGCCTCGGAGCCGCCTCCGCCGGGAGGGGTCGGGCTGGGAATCCGCACTGTAAGACTCTTCGGGGAGGCCGGGCCGGCTCCGGGAGTCGGTGGCGGCAGCAGTGGTGCAGGCGGAGGGGACGCGGCGCTGGATTTCAAGTTGGCGGCTGCTGTCCTGAGGACCGGGGGTGGAGGTGGTGCCTCTGGTAGCGACGAGGACGAGGTGTCCGAGGTACGGCTCTAGGACCTCTGCTTTCCACACAGCTTGAGGCACGAATTCTCTCTGGGCCGGCGCAAGGCTCGGGCCACCCTCCCGCTGCCCAGATGGAGTCGTTCACTGTCAGCGATCGGCTCCCTGGCTGCAGTGGCGGCGGTGCGGGCCTAGTGCGCCCTCGGCTTACTCTTCGGCTCGAGTCGGACCGGTTCCCGTCACCATCCACAGACCCACAATAGGGAGTCCTTTGGTCTCTGAGCTTCGCGCGGGAAGCGGGACTCCTCAGGCACCTCCCGCCCACCCCGCTTTGGCGACGGGGGTGGGGGCGGGGTCTTGCCAGAGTCCCTGCCCTTGGTACTGAGAGAGCGGGACAGAGAGAGGGTGAGGGTGAGACAGAGAGAGGGCTGGCTTGCGTAAAGAGCATTGCCACTGTACTGTGTGTCTCCTCTGAGTTGAAGGATTGGGCATTATTTGCCTTATGCCTTACTTGTGTGCTTAAGGAGGGTTCTTAATTCCTGTTTAGTCTGAGACAGGTGAGTACTAAGGAGCTCTGCTTTTGCTCTGAAAAATCACGTGGGTCCTTGCACCTGGGACTTTGTGTGAAGTTAGACAGGAAGAGAAGGTTCCAGTGCTTGTTTGGGCTTCGCAACAGCTGGATAGCTGAACTCTGAAGATTTTTAGGCTTGGAAAAGATGAGGTCCCCTTTGGATACCTTTTGCAGTGAGGGAAATTTGTTATCAGGATCTTCGTTCCTTTCAGCTGTTAGGCGCATACTGGACATTTTTAGGTTTAGGCAGTCTAGAATGGGAGGCATCACCTTTTGGGCTCTAGGGCTAAAAGGAGATATTTTACGTTTGTACTTTCTCCCCCAGACTATGGCTTTGTTATAGTTCTGTCCTGTGGTGACTGTTGTTCTAAGAGCTTAGAATATTCTATTTTGATTCTAAGGTGCCTGGTTCATCCCCTATGACCAATTATTTTAACCTCTGATCTTGGTCTTAAAGTACAGGGGCTTCTCTGTATGTACAACTATCCTGGCTGTTGTATTGAGAGGCATAAGGAGAAACTGTATTTGTGGGTTGTAGAATACTGTTAGTGTGGTCTTACCATTATTGATCGGAACAGGAATTCCTTTAGTTTTTCCTAACTCCAGTATTTTGCTTGGGATAAACTTTGTGGGTTGTAAAGGAGACAGTTCCTTGAATGTCTCTATGAATTTCACTATAAGAGAAATAACTTCTAAGCCAAGGTGGTACAGGATTTTGAGTAGGCAGTTATGGAAAGTGTCTCTGGAGCACTTCCACTCCTGGGCTTGTGGAAGGCTTTCATTTAGACTTTGAATGAAAATTGATGAGAAATGAACCTAGAATATAGTTACTTTTTACCTAGGAAGTAAAGATTAGTGTCTGTTTTTCTTTGAAACTTGTTACAGAAACTGAAAAAGTTTGCTTTGGTCTGAATGTGATAGAAGGATGATGATCTTGATTTTCTGGACCATTTTTGCACAGTTGTCATTGAAGTGAGAGATCACACATTTGTTTTTACTTCAGTAGTAGTCTTAAATTTCTTCAGAGGTAGAGTGCTAGTGAGACTCCGTAGTTATCAATCTCTAACTCTATGGGCTTGTGTGTTATAGCTGGAGAAATGAGCTTTTGAAGTAACCAATTTTGCAAGACTTGTTCGGACACACAGATCATTTCATTTGGAGCCTCCACACCAAGCTGTTAAAGCTGTGAGCAGAATTCACACCTTTTGTGTGATTTTCTTCCGTGTTATCATAGAAATTATTCACAATTCCTTCAGCCACTTAGGCTAATGGTAGAAGAACCTCTTATTCTCCTAAATTTTCTGTGCTTAAGGGATTTAGATACTAAGTATATATAGGTAGACATCACTTTTGGATAGAGATTTCTGGAGTACCCACAAACTTGAGCCTAGCCTAAGATAATGCTTGATATGCATATAGATTCTTTCTTAACCTGAGGAGACAGGAAATATTGTTTTTATGTCCTATTCATCCATATCATATAAAAAAGAAATTCCTGGAATATCTAGTGTATGTTGAATGTGTGGTAGGGTATAGTCTGTGCCTTTGTGAGTGAAATGACCTTTTTTTCTCAAGCAGATTTCTTGGATTTTCTCATTTCTCTCTGACAAGATGATAGTCTTCTCCCTTATTATTACCTTTGAGTTTCATTTAGTGTAGAAAGATCATAAGTAATATTCTTCAAAAAATACTCACCCAACTGGCATTTGATGAAAAATAGTAGAATTTTTATTTTCATCATACCTAGATGTTTTAGAACCAATTATTTAGAATGTAGACATTCAGAGAGAAGAGTTTGTGAGTGAAGTTTGTCTTGTTCCCCAAGTGGGGCAGGCCTAGGTGAGAAATGAATAAGAAATATGGAGGCTTAGAGCATTTGCTCTAGAATTAGCTGAAGGATTTTGAGTAGGCAGTATATATTTGGTATACAAAGATATAAATACTTTAAGGATCTCTTTTCTATTCTTTGTTAAAGGCTACATCTGAGAAAAAAAAAAAAGTACTTTCTCTTGCTGGCTAAGTCAAAAGACCTTTTAATTTGAAGAAATGGCTTGGATCTTTTTGTACATTTCTTACATTAGAATTGATTCTTGTTGTTTTAAACATTGGGGTGGATACTTGTTTTGTATTTCTTCAGGCATGTTGAGCATGTTCATTAGCTGTCAAGGTCCTTGAACAGAAAAGTGAGAACTTGCCCTGGATTCTTTTGAAATGTACCCATTTTTCAGAATAGAAGTCAGGTTGAAAATTATTTAAAAACTAATTTTTAAATGTTAATTTTAGACTTGTAATCTTTTTTTTTTTTAAGTAACATAAAAGGAAAATAAAATTCTAAAGAGAGGGTTTTGGTGAGGTTTATGACCTTTAATTTTTCTGTGTTAAGAACGTATGCATATACTGTATGTATATGTGTGTGACATCTTCTTTTAAAATTAAAAAAATAATAAAGTAATATAATCTTATGGCTAAAAGTTCAACAGTGTAGATAGTAGATATAATATGAAAAGTAAAAAGTTCTCCTCACCCCTACTGACCCTTCAGATCCCACTCAGAAGTAATGAGTATTACAGTTTTCCTTTCAGTAAAATTTCTAGGCCTATATAAGCCAATGCGTATATGTTTGCCTGTTCCCATACACACTTAAAACATTAGAAATTAGAAATCATTTTAATTAGAAAGCATTGCTGAAGCTTTTTTATCTGAGGCAGATGCTTGTTTACAATTAGGTAAAAGCAAAAGGAAATTGGGTTTAACATTTTTTTTTTTTTTGGGGGGGTTTAACATTTTATAGCAAATTATAGCAAAAGCTTTGTAGGGAATTTTTTTTTTTTCCTGAAAATTATGTTAAGAGTCAAACGCAAAAGCCATACAGAGGTTCCTTCTGATTTTCTCTAATAGGAGATGGATCATTTCCTTTAGGGTTATTTACAGTCTACTGTGTGGAGCAAAGTTTCTCAACTACAACATATCAAAATTTGGAGCTATATTAATTCTTTGTTGTGAGGGGTGCTCCTGACTTTAGCAGCATCCCTGTCCTTTACCCACTGGATGCTGGTAAAACACAACTGATTGTGACAGCTAAAAATGTCCTTTGCTTTTGTTTAGTCACTAAACTGTATTCATCTCTTTTTGCAACTCCATGGACTGTAGCCTGCCAGACTCCTCTGTCCATGGGATTTTCCAGGCAAGAACACTTGAGTGGGTTGCCATTTCCTTCTCCAAGGGATCTTCCCCATCCAGGGATCGAATCTGCATCTCCTGCTTGGCAGTTGGATTCTTGACTTACTACTGAGCCACCAGGGAAGCCCCAAAATGACCTTAGACAAAGCCAGATGTCTTTGGGGGCAAAATCACCCCTGGTTGAGAACCACTGGTCTAGAGGCCCACTCTTATCTGGGATGGTGATTTTGTCATCAGTACTCTATATTCAAAGTTCAGGTAAACAAGGTGAGTCACTGTTTTTAATAACATCTCAGGGCTTATGTTCATAACTGAGCAAGAGAGAAATGGAAAGAGGGTAGGTACTGACAGGTTTAATGTTATAAATTTTCCATGATAAATTTATAATTTTAGGAAAATTTAAAATACTATGTTGTTTTTGAAAAATTCATTTATTGCCCATGAAAATGAATTTCTAAAAAACCTTAATGGGGACTTTGTTAAAGGTAGAAAGGCTATATTCCATAAATTATCAGCAGTAGTGATAAAACAGGGTTTTCCAGGTGGCACAGTGGTAAAGAACCCACCTATGAATGCAGAACATGCAAGAGATTCAGGTTCAATCCCTGGGTTGGGAAGATCCCCTGGAACAGGAAATGGCAACCCACTCCTGTATTCTTGCTTGGAAAATCAAATGAACAGAGGAGCCTGGTGGGCTACAGTCCATGGGGTGCAAAGAGTCGGACACAATTGAGTTCACACACACACACACACACACACACAGTGATAAAGTAGGAAATATACATTTGTATTCTAGTGAGCAAATTTTGGAGACATCAGAATGTCAATTGAAAGAAAAATTACATATTATGACGATAACAGATTTTTTATATTACATGAGTACCAACCTTGCACAAGTTTCATTCTATAAAGCCTTCAGACTTTACATAAAATGATTCATTGATGAGTATGGTTGTATGAATGGCGGGTCAAAACAGAGTTGATTAGGTATGGGTAGAGGAAAACCTTACTGTGAAACTTGAAGTATGTAGAGGTTTTCTTTTGGTTATTATTTAGTATATTTTGATAGGTGATTTATATTTGCATAGTTCATAAGACTAATAAGGCAAACACAGTAAAAAGATCCTGACCTGCCCTTTATACTTTTAATGTCTTGATGTCCTTTCAGAATATCTTTATGGAAATACAAATGTGTAGTTTTATTTTTCCTATTGTCTTCCGGGAGTTGGTGATGGACAGGGAAGCCTGGTGTGCTGTGGTTCATGGGGTCGCAAAGAGTCCGACACGACTG